TCCCCCAGCCATTCATGCTGTAGCCTTGCTGCCCCCATTCCAGTCCAGGCTCCCCTTGACTTCTCGATGTTTCGTAACAGCGTTTTGAGATGCGGTTGTAATCAGAGCATTTATATATTCCACTTGAACTGCATCGATAAAAGTGATAATGGACATTCACTGAAGTGCATTAGCTGGTGAGTGGTATCCATGGAGATATTGGAGCACAGAGTTTGTAGTCCTGTTACAGAGGGGTTTTAATGATGTCTTTTGATTATGCGACATTAAAACACTACTGTAATCCAACAGATAATTCACACAGGACAAAGACACACCTGGTCACATGCACACAACAGATATTCTCTTCACCTGAACACTCGAGGCAAGCACTATTTGTGAGCGTCTATTAAGGCATGGCACAAGAAAAGGCTGATATGACAAGCACTACTCTCACCCAACCGTCTTTGTTACTCGTGTATAGATATATTTGAGTAGTGACCACACCATCCCCGCCGTAACAGGTACTCAGTTGACGAATGAGTCCACTGAGGATGTCCCAGGTAAGGTTCAGATATCACTTGGCGACCGGTGGTGCTGGCAATGACCATCAATCTCATAAACAGACATCAGACAAGGGTCTCTGTGACTGGATGACAAAGCGATCACTAACCTATGTGACACACACAAGACTCTCGGACTAGTCTGGGTAAGTGGTGCTCGCAATCACTTATTAAGGCCAGCACAAGTAGGACTGTAAGGTAAAGCTACCAATGGCCGTAACGATTTTGCCAGGGAATCACAATTTTAGAAAGTCTGTACCGGTGTTTCAAAGCCTTTGTTGAAAATGTGCATTTCGCCTGGCCCCCATGCACTACTCATCATATGGATATCGCGTGGGGCTACCCGAATAGTGGGCAGGGTTGGCCGAGGAGTGGGTGGGGCCAACTTCAGGAAGAGTGAGGACCTAATAATAATAGGGGTTTTCCCCTTTTTTCTGGCAACAAAACTGAAACCTTTTTACAAGGATTCATGTCTGCATGAACCACAATACCTGCAGGCAAAATGCAAACAAAAAACATACTATAATATATGCATTGTCCTTGAAACTGATTGGTCCACACCAGAGTCGCCCCTTGGTGTGGACCAATCAGTTTCAAGGACAATGCATATATTATCATAGTATGTTTTTTGTTTGCATTTTGACTGCAGGTATTGTGGTTAATGTAGACATGAATCCTTGTAAAAAAGTTTCAGTTTTGTTGCCAGAAAAAAAGGGGAAAAACCCTATTATTATTATATTTTGGTACTGGCAAAGGAGGTCTAATGATGAGTGAGGACCTGTTGGCAGAGCTAGTGGTTGAGTAGGTGTGGCAATGTAAAAGTGGGCAGGGCTGACCAAGGGGAAGGGGCTTTCAGTCCCACCATGCATCCCGGTTAAGCCTCCAAGTGAGTTGGTTAGCTTTACTGTAAGGCTATGGCAGAAGTAGACTGTAGAAACATGATATAGACACACAAGACATGTTACTCTCTCACATGCTCACACAAAATAGCCAGCATTCACCCCATCATGGTGTTGATATCACTGCTGTGGTTGTGCCAGACTAGGTGGACTCCGAGGTCAATAAGGAATTGGCCAAATATTCTAACGTAAGACTCCTCTGAAAAATAATCTTCAGGCTCGTGAGACTCTCCTGGATAAATAAAGAATATTATTATGGTAATACTTGAGGACAGTGGTTATAAGTAGGGTCCCATCTGACCAATGTGCTTAAATTTTCAACAGCATCAAGCTGGAGATAACAGCGCCCTCCCAAAGCAACCCAGGACCTCCCCCCCCCGCCAAGACTTTAGGCACAGTACTGTGAGACCCCCCCCCCCCCAGACCCTAGCCACAAGCACTTGCAGCCATGACATGACACACATTAGACCTAAACCGACGAGTGTGGGGTTGATGCTGTGAACACCAGAATAAACAGCTAAAATAAAAACCTTGACTTAAAGCTTTCGTGACTGCAGGAATTCATATTCTTTGGGTCTTTCGGTAAAGTCACGTGGGTAGAAAAAATAATAGATCACGACGTTCCGATCGCAACGCAAGCAATCCGCCTGATGATGATTGCTTGCGTTGTGATCGAAGCGTCGTGATCACGTAGATAGGTTGAAAGAAAATAACAAAACATAACCACGGTCCTCAAGTATTACCATAATAATATTCTCTATCCAGGAGAGTCTCACGAGTTTGAAGATTATTTTTCAGAGGAGTCTTACGTGAGAACATTTGGCCAATTACTTATTGACCTCAGAGTCCACCTAGTCTGGCACAACCACAGCAGTGTTATTTTTTGTAATTAATTTTTCTGTTTATTATTTTATTTCTTTCAACCTATCTTATTTTATTTCAACCTATCTACGTGCCTTTACCGAAAGACCCAAAGAATATTAAATCAAAACATGTCACACATTGGGGCAGAGTGGAACATGCTAACCATCCAAACGCCAGCCCTGATCCCGAGCCAATGAGCTAATCATCCACTTTTGACTAGCCCTGTCCCGAAATCCTAAAAATCTAAACAACCAGCTATTAGTGCCAACCTTAGCCCTAAATAACCAACGAACCAGCCAATATAAATAGACCTTTCCAAAATTCTGTGTATCCCGTCATCCAGCATCCATTAGTTGCCATATTTCTAATCATACATATTACTAATTAGCTAACGAGCCATGAATAATTACCCTTCCACTTCCTAAGCCAAACCCACTATTCAACCAGCCACTAGTACGAACAGCCCCATCCATAAATCTAACCAATTTACCAACTAGCCACGAGTACAGCCGTCGGCAACCTGCGTCTCCAGAGCCGCGTTTGGCTCTTTAAGGACTGCTTCGTGACGTTCTTTATTCAGGACCGTCTCGTATTCACATGCATTGTGGCACTTGAAATATTTAGTTTTTTTTACGAAATCTAAAAAAAAATGGTCTCTTCTTGCTATTTTTGGGTGCCGACTTCTGCATTAGTGTTAGATCTTCCTCTGAACATAACTCTAACCATAACCAAACCTTGAGCCAATTTCAATTGAACTGCGTCATTCGTATTTATTTTCAATTTACATTGCAATTCACATGGCGATTATAATTGACCCCAGTTTTGCCCCTGAACTCATCATCTCAAAGGGTGCCCCTTTCCACTTGTTGTACACATTTCCATTGTTGGTGTCCACAGCGCTGTGTGGTTTTGTCAAGAATTTGAGGACTGCACCAGCAGTGGTATACAAGCACAAATAAAATAACAACGCACCTCGTTTGTGATGAAGTCTGTCGCCATCATAGAGGAAGCGATTTTGTTTGCTACTCTAAAACAGTACAGCTTTGACTTCTGGGAAGAAAAAAAACCCCGATATTAAATAGACACTTCTGACATCCCAAAAAACTCTCAAAATATACTGCGCATTGTGCATGCCAATCCACTGTTTTTGATGAAAGCCTCTCCATGCCACGCCGGTTGCGAGGGTTATATGAGCATACTTCACCGCGCCATTCAGTGGAGGTTGAAGGTGTGGAGCACTGAATGTGGGAGTAAAGAAGCACGCCGTAACAACAGATGTTCCTGCACTGCCTTTCGCAGCCCACAATAAAGTTCTGTAGCAGCTTGTAACACTTGTCATGCATCCCAGTCGGCTATTAAGCAATACTCCAAACTCAAACCGCGCAAAGCTTCTGAGATGTAACGAGATCGGGCGCATCGAGCGGCTGAATCGGTTCATGGGCCAGCATGGGCAGTCGTGGGGAAGTTTTGGTAATAATTTACTAAATAGACAAGAGTCTGCCTCACACACAAATTAAACAAAATAAACATTTTTGTCCTTGGGCCCTCGGGACCAGTGTTTTCCAGCAGCATTTATTTAGGTAGGTCAACTCTGCACCCGTTTCAACTGTCTGTGTATCATTTCTGTGGGCGCCACGGTGGTGAGTTGTTAACTACCTCACCTGGTGTACAGGATGGTTGTGGGTTCGATCCCTACCCTGGCGCCTGTATTTTTGGAGTTTGCATGTTCTCCCCATGGTCGCGTCGATTTTTCTCTGGGTCCTCCAGTTTTGCCCTCCACATTAAAAAAAAAAATGCGTTTATAAATTTCCACATAAGCCACTTGGTTGAGCTATCATTTCTGGCCTGGTCACTTCTGAAAAATAGTTATAGAGCTCAGTGGGCCTTACCTGGTAAAATAAAAAAAATAGTTGAGTTTAGTTTTAGCAGAGACGGGCCTGGAGCCAACGAAAATGTAATTTTTTTTTTATATGGGGAGAAGCTCTCGTTTCTTCACATTTCAACTCCCTTCAACGTTTTTAAGGTACCACAGCGGAGAAGCGATTTTAAGCAATCATGACGGTAAATTGTTCCACTCATTCTTTGAAAAAGGAATTGCCTGTAACATTATCCCATTATGACTGGACACTGCAAGCGTTTTAAGATTCACATATACTCAATGACAAACGAACCAATAAACGCTAGCCTATTGCAATGATGGTGACATCCCTTTGTTAATCCACTGCTGGATGAAGGTCTCCTCACTCCCCGTCATAGGGGTTGTGTGAACATACTTCACCATGTTGGTCAATATCTGTTGGTTAAAGTGGGGGGGGGGGGGGCAGCACTGGTTTCAGATATGACTTGCCACTGAGTTTAGCCGTGGTGGGGATTAAGACGTGGTTCGCTGGGTTCATGGCTAATCGCACTGAACCACTGTGCCCCAAATACATGGAATGCGCTCGAACTCATCAGATCTCAGAAGCTAAGCAGGTTTAAGCCTGGATTGTGCTTGGATGGGCAACCACCAAGCATAATTGCTTGTTGTAGGCTGCTCTTGGGCAATGTTTTAGGCTCCTAAATCTATGCCCTACGCTTTCAACAGACCACAATGACCAGTGCAGTGAAGCATGATCACATGTCCTCCAAGACCGAAAGGTGTGGGGAGGCCCTCATCAAGCAGTGGAAGGACAACAAGACTGTACATGTACACATATGGTCAATTGTACTGTGTATTTTTATATTTAAAGGAAACACTAATTACAAATGTGGTGATATTTTATCTCTCACATTAATAGTTTTTCCCCCCATTTCATTTTAAAATACAGTACTTAAGTGTTATTACTATCATTACAATTAGTGACGTATTTTTTTCTATACACTTACACATATTATTGTTCCACAGTAATTAAACTTTAATAAGCACGAATAAATGTCTTTACGTGAACACTAAAATGTGACACAAGTGATGCTTCATTGCTCGCAATGCCTGCCCTGGTTCGACCTGACTTGATCTAACCTGATACATGACCCCTGCCCCCCATCCCGGCATTATAGAGTCACGAGGTGGGGGGCCCATATTTTAACCCCCTCCCCAAAAACCCCAACTCAAAATGCCATGCTCGTTCAAGTCCATGCGATTTGGCGAGCACCTCTCCACGGAACGGTGGGGACAATGACAGGAAACGGAGCCTGTCTCCAGGCCAAGGTTTCTCAAACTCCGGTCCCAGGTCCTCCCCACAGGTTGGAGTGGAGGCATCACAGCCGAGTGTGGTTGGGTCAGTGACCAGGAAAATGTTCAATCACTGAGTACACCATATCCCAGTGCAATGCAAAGCAAGGACCGGAGGGCAGGAGGGTTGGAGCTTTGGATGCGGGAGGGGGGGGGGGGTATTTCGAGCATTGCACCTTACCCCAGGCGCCAAAATGTCGAGTGACAGCTTTGCCACATCCACCACACCTCTCGTTATGGCTGTGGCTACGAGTCACTCCAGTCTACCAGCGATCTGGAAAATATTCAGTGAGACATTAAGCCCTAGATTAGTGAGATACCTTGAGGTATCTATCATTATAGCTACCAAACTTTCTGGTTTGGCCAGGACATTCCGGGTTCAGAAAGGATATCCTGATGTTTTGAAGCATTTGTAAAAATTGGAATGGTGTCTGGGTTTAACATTTTCTGACTTCGTTCTTAACTCATTATATGGGAAAAGGGCAAGGCCACCTGAGTACTGGGCGGTGTTGGCAGAAGAGTGGGTGGGGCCTATGAACAGTTGGGGGGGGGGGGCAATGACAGGAAGAGTGAGGAGGACCTCTGGACGGAGCTAGTGGTGGAGTGGGTGTGGCTATATACAAGTGGGCGGGGCTGGCAGAGGGGAGGGGAGCCATCGTTAGGCCAAGTATCCTATTTGAGCCTCCCAGGAATTTGGCAGCTTTGGGTAACGTAATATCAGCGTAAGAACCCGGGAAGTGCTATTCATACAAGTACCTTGGTGCTACGCTCGCCTGGCATTGCTTATACAGTATCTCATGATGCTGCTTATATTCATGGTGTTGATGACGACCATAATGCGATGTCATGAAACACTGCGCACACCTGGTGATTGGTAAACGCGGAAACCCACACTGGTGAGGACTGAGGACGGAGCTTTGAAAAACCCTACACTCAACCAGAACTTAACTAATTCTGCTGTGTCCTATTCCAATGCTGGCAGCCGCTCCCAAGCCAAGAGGGAAGGGGCCCTCTCTCTGAGCCCTCAATCCCCAGGGTCCCACAGTCACTCCCTCCTGGGCCTCCATGGGACGCCACTCCACAGCAACGGTGGATGCTTCTCAGACGAACGTCTCAGGGATGGAGTCCGACTGCTCAGGGCTGAGATTGCCGATCCTCCTGGCATCCAGGCTGCCCTCTGAGGGCCGCCCCTCGGCCGGCAAGGCCCGCACCCAGCGAGAAACGGCTCCACCGGGCCCCATGCCACCGGCATCCCCCACGTTGGACCCCTTCGCGGCACCCGCTTGGCTCGTGAAGAAGGTCCTGCTCGCCGGGGCGTCCCTTGGCAAGCACTTGACGGGGCCTAGCCGGGCCTGCACTGCTGGACTGTAGGGGATGCTGTCCCAGCCTCGCCCATTTAGCTCGGCGGGGTTTGGGCCCCCCAGGCTCGGCAGGTCTGGCTGTGATTGCGAGAAGAGGAAGCTGTTGTTTCGTCCACCACTGCTGCCACTGCTGCCGCTGCTGCTGCTGACTTTGCAGCTGCTGCTGTTGATACAGTGGAAGCGGCGGCCATCTTCTCCTCCTCCGGGTCCTTGCCCCGGGCGACCTAGGCCCTCCCTGGTGTTCGTGCCCACGAGGGCCTGAGTGTCTGTGACTCCGGGGCCTGAGCTGCGGGTGCGAGTGAGGGGGATGGGTCCTCCACTTCCTCCTCCAACTTCCGCTCCACCTGGGGCCACGTGTGACCTCGAGTCCTTGTCTCTCAGGGTCATGAGGTCAAGGTCGAGGTCAGGGGCCCGGGAAGGAGTGGCGACCATTTCAGGATGTGGTAATCGGTTGAGAGGGTCTGTGGGAGAAGAGAGAACGAGGTCACAAACGGGTGCTTGGAAATGTACACACCAGGGCAGTGGGCGTCTATTGACAATTATCTGGAACTGTGATGTCCAATCACTTAAGTAATCAATTAATTTTCCATTTATCGGATCTATTAGTCACTGGAATAATGTGGTGCGTCACGTGTCGTTTGGGGGGGGGAGGGGTCCTGCTTCCTGTAATCAGCCAGAAACGCCTTTTAGCGTCCTCTGGTCTAACACCGTTTGAGACCAGGCTCAAAAGAAAGCTGTCTCTGGTGTGGACCAATTAGTTTCAAAGACAATGCATCATATTATCAGAGTATGTTTTTTGTTTGCATTTTGACCACAAGTATTGTGGTTGATGCAGACATGATTCCTTGTAAAAGGTTTCAGTTCGGTGTTTTAACAACTTAACACCTGTTTTGTTGCCAGATAAAAGGGGAAAACCCTATTCTCATCAGCCAGAAATATAAGTAGTTGATTACAATTTGTTGTCAATGAATGTACTCAAGTCAGCGAGAAGGAAGCTGTGAATGAGGACATTAGTGCATCTGGCACTATTCCTGTGGAGGTGGCAATGGATCTAAGACTGTGGAGAGAGGGGACTCAGAAAGCGGACCCCCAATTAGTGGGACAAACACTAGGAAGAAGAAGTTACCTATTGGACTAATCGTCCCAATTTCACAGCTTTTATTTAGGCACTTGTGCAAAGGTGTCAATTTTCATGAAGACCCTGTTGGGAACGTTCAGAACATTTCTCTTCTAAGACCTTGTAGTTGTGGTCCACCTTGGTGTAATTCTTTTCCAAACGTGTGAAATATCATCCGTAATAGAGGTTTTTTGGGTTAGATCGCGTAAATATATAAAAGTGTCGTTAAACCCACCACCCGACACAGCCAACTAGTGAGGGTTGTCACGTAAACAGAACGTGGCCAATTCGTCACTAGTACAGCACACCGGTGTGTTGGAGAGCCAGGCCACAACATTTACAATCTGAGTACGACGTTTCGCCAATAATTACAACTAGCGTCATCAGGCGACAGCCAGATTTGTGTAGAAGTCCACCGGTTTCGTTCATTATATAGAAGCGTAGATGTGGTGACCACACTTCTGCGCTCTTGCACAAAGTCGGGGGGGGGGATTAATGAGTCAACACATTTTATGCATGCGCATTATGCAAGCCCATTGATCTTGTCCTTCCTGTCTATTCTGTGTATTAAAATAGCCGTACCAACGGTAATCCCTATTGAAGTATGGTGGCATGTATAGGCATGCATTTAAACAATTTCGATAGATTATCCAATTAGTCTTGGCCAGTAGTAGCTAGTTTTGCACAGAACTTCAACATTATCAAAATCAATTGAGTGTCCTTGTTGGTACACGTGTTCTGCTACTGCTGACAGTTGTATTTGGGAATATTTCATATTTGGTTTGGTGTTCTTTTAGTGTCGTGCTGATCAATCGTCCTGTTTGCCCAACATAGCATTTGCCACAAGTGCAGTTAATACTGTACACACCTTCTGTTGATAGCTTTGGTAATACATATTTTGTACCAGATATTAATTTCTGTATTTTATGTACTGTGCCAAATCTGACTTAGATGTTTTGTTTTCCAAACATCTGGCTAGTTTATCAGTTACTGCTGCAATTTACGGTATTTTGATCATTTTCATTACTTGGGCAGTTTCAATGCTCGTGTTATTTGATTTGGTTTTGGCATTCAATGCCCTGTTGATTTGTGCATCATTGTAACCGTTCATTTGCAGCACTTATTTAACATGTTTCATTTCACTTCTCAGACTGTCACCATCTGATACTTTCTTAGCCCGATGAATGAACATCATGATAAGAGCAGATTTCTGCACGGGGTGATGGTGTGACTGCATTCAGATAGGCGTCAGTATGTGTTTTCTTTCGGTAAACGCTCTATGTTATTTTACCATTGCGACCCCGTCCGAGCAGAATATCCATAAATGGTGAAATAAGCATGTTTGCGTTAACGTTTTAGGTACCCAAAAACATCCAATGACACGGTGTTACGTATATATCTACTCTACAGTAGGCATCCCCTAACGCACTTCTGCACGTAAAGAATTCTGTCCCAGCCATAAATTATCCGTGTAACACCTCTTCGATCTTTGATTGCAATGGAAACAATGAGGCACGCCCTGATTCTGGTGGCAGGCACTCTGCGTTAGTTATGCATCACAGTGATGCGCAGAAATGAGCAGCAACACACTGCTTGTCGCTCAATGTCTCTCCACGCCACCCGCTTCTCTTGTTCCACAAAACGCCGTGGAGACAGCGGGTTCTGTTGGTGTGTGCGTGGTTACCGTTGGGGTGGCATACCGTGGGAATGGTAGGCCCTGCGGTTAACATGGAGATGGTTACCATGGAGACGGTGGGGAGTTCTGTTGGCGTGTGAGTGGTTATCATAGGGAGGGGTACCATGGGGGATGGTGGTTTCTGTGCTCATGTGTGTGTGGTTACCGTGGGGTCCTGTGTCTGTGTGTGGTTACCATGGGGTCCTGTGTCTGTGTGTGGCTACCGTGGGCATGGTTACCGTGGGGACGGTGGGTCCTGTGTGTATGTGGATGTTGCCACGGCGTCCACGCGTGAGTTCTCCGCTGCGCTGTGCTTGCTCCTTCCGCTGCAGAAGCAAAATAATTACGGGGTCACAATGATCATCATGGCAGGGATGAATGGGTAATGGAGTTGGTGATAGTGTCATTGATGGAAGTGTATGAACCTAGGGACCCGATTCCGATTCCCGCTCACAGCCAACACCAGTGACGATTATCTGAACTGGAACCAGTCTTGGGCCTCCCCTAGGTCGACTCAGCCTCAAATGAGTAGCTGGTGCAGTGTGTACAAACATTGCCACTGGGGAGACAAAGGCGGCCGGGCGTGGTGCTGGCCACCCACCCCCTCATGTGACGTACCGACCTTCATAGGTGCTTGCTAACAGCACTTGCCCCAAGTCTGTTCAGACTCTGCGGGGAATCTTTGCCTTTGTATTTTTGATGATGGTGGTGAGACTGATGCTGACTATGCAGGCGATGATTGTGTTTAAGGTGGTGTTAATGTTTCTGATAATGATTTTTTAAATTGGTGTCAATCCTGATGATGGTATTGATGACGATGGTGCTTGTGATGATGGTGCTGATGATGTTGAAGACAGCGCTAGAAGTATATGCTGATGGTGTTCAGAGTGGCGGTGATGATGACAATGTTGGTGACAGTGCTGATGTATATATGTTGAAATTCTTTTGCACCATATGTAGCTAACCACGCGAATCGGAGGTGCGGGGGAAGGACAACAAACTAAACTATGGCATCTACACAAACCGTTGCTTACGTGCCATACAAAAGAAGAAGATGAAAGAGCAAGGTATTGTGGTTAATTTGTCGCAATTTGTGGTTCATTTCATGGTGACGCCGGTAGTGAAGCTCTTCCCTACCTGCCACCGCTCCGCGCGCCCCCAGCACGGGCGAAGTGTTCTCGTAGGGGGACCCCTCCCCGTCCCCATCCCCATCAGCGCTGGACCCCCCCTCCAGGCTCTCGCTGGAGCCGTCGCGACCCGAGACACTGGGCCAGCCTCGCTCCGTCGCCCTGGCACACGGGGACACACGGGCACATGGGGACAAGGGGATGACGGTGATATGATGAGACGCAGATGTATGCGCACATGTGACACGCAGAGATAACGGTGATATGTATGGCCACATGGGGACAGATTACAGTGACAAGAATATAAGAGGATTTAGGGACATAGATACTGATGGGTTTGGATATTGCACCCTATACTCCCGGGTAGCTCGGAGCATCTCCATGACTAACATACTTAAGGACATGGGCACATTGGGGCTACAGGGACACGGGGATATATACACTAATCACAGCGTGTATTTTGATTGTGCATAAGGAGTGTGTAGAGCGCCGTTTGTCTGTGTGGTTGAGAGTGTCATTCACACAAACACACGAGGGTGAGTACTATAGCAGTTGGCGCGCTGCGCTATGAACCCGGCGACCCGAGTCCAATTCCCGCTCGCAGCCAACACCAGTGATGATTATCTGAACCGGTCCTGCGCCTCCCCTAGGTCGACTCAGCCTCCAATTAGTACCTGGCGCGGTGTGTAAACATCGCACCAGATGTTATTTATTAATGTGGTGCACCACTGTGTGTGTGCGTGCGCGTGTCTCACCCGGCCCCCACTGCCTTCCTCCTCAGCAGGTGCTCCACCACCTCCGGGTCGGACTCCATGAGCCGCAGCAGAACCTCGTGCTGAAGCTCGGGCGGGATCTGCTCACCTCATCACCACGCACACCTCGTCATCACACACGTTGTCAACATGCACACTGCGTCGACGTTAGCAAGCACCTATGAAGGCCGACACAGCGCCATTGTACCCTATTTAAGGCTGGTTCGACCTAGGGGAGGCCCAGGGCCGGCTCAGATATTCGTCGCTGGTGTTGGTCGTGAGCGGGAATTGAACTCGGGTCGCCAGGTTCGTAGCGCAGCGTAGCGCTAACCGCTGCACTGCCGCTCCCCACTCTGCCTTTGTGACGCGTGTACATGCACACAACAGACGCGCGTGCGTGCACACCAGAAAGACTTGCTCGTGCTGCTCGATGAGCGAGCACGTGGTAGCGATGACCGCCGTGCTGTCCTCACGCACGCTCCGCTCCCCACGCAGGAGGTTCGGCCCGAACACCGTCGCCAAGTTCTGAGCCGTCATCTTATTTCCCTGGACACACGCATGCATATACGAACGGATACACAGAGGCACGCATCGACATGCATGGGACAAACATGCACACATGCACGCACAGATGGATATGCAGGGGCAACACACGCAGGCGCACATGGGAACACATCGACACAAGGATACGCACGTATCACATGTGCACGTATCACATGTGCACGCATCACATCTGCACGTATCACACGTGCACGTATCACACGTGCACGCGTGGACGCACGAGGATACACACGGCCATGCACGTGCACACAGGGGCACAAATAGACGCACATGGGGACGTGCGTGCAGACAGGCAAACACAGGCACACGTGGGTATGTGAAACTAACACCAGGTTTATCTGGTTCCATAATGCCAAATGTATACATACCACTGAAATGTAAGATGTGCTCAGAATTGCTTTGTTACATCCGAAAAGCAAATACCAAATTTTGGTAAAAGCTCCTTATACATCCGATGGTATCCCATTTCCCTTATTTCTACAAACCACTTCCTCTAAATTAGCATTCAATGGGCTAGTGTAATCACTGCTTTGGACAATATGAACGTAAATGCTTTTGAACCTTAATCACTGACCAGGCTCGACCCCCCCCCCCCCCCCCGCTTAGCATGGGACACGCAGCGAGGTGGGGGTACGCCGCTCACCTGCTCCCCCGTGTCGGCCTGTGTGCCCGCGTGGCGTGCCACCGTGGCGAGGAAGGAGAGCACGCGGTGCAGCGTGTCGCAGTTACACGGGGGCAGCAGGCACACGAGCAGCCTGAGCAGTGGCACCTGCTGCCCCGGGTCCAGCCCTGACAAGGAAAGACAAAGACCCCCCCCCCCCCACAGTATAGCCTTAACAGACTGTTGGGGAAAGTGCTGTTAGCGAGCACCTATGCAGGCCAGCACCATGCCCATCCGCCTTTGTTTCCCTAGTGACGATGTTTGTACACACCGCACCAGGTACTCATTTGAGGCTCAATCGACTTAAGGGAGGCCCACAACCGGCTCAGATAATCGTCACTGGTGTTGGCCGTGACCGGGAATCGAACTCGGTTATCAGGTTCGTAGCGTAGCGCGTTAACCGCGACACTACCGTTCTCAAGCTCTGACAACACACTGGTTGTAATTACTGGCGAAATGTCGTACTCGAATTGTAAATATTGTGGATTTACTCTCCAACACACCGGAGTGCTAGTTTTGTTCATGTGATCTATCCCAAAACCCGGCAACCTGGGTTCAATTTCCACTCATCACCAATAACAGTGGCGAATATTTAGACCAGCCTCCGCGAGGTCGACTCAACCTCAAATGAGTATCTGGTACAGTGCATAAACATCACCACGAGGGAGACAAAGGCGGCTGGACATGCTGCTGGCCACCCACCTCGTGTGCTGTGCCGGCCTTCATCGGTGCTCGTTAAACGCACTTGCCCCCTCAGCCTGTTAAGGCTATATGGGTGGCGGCGGGTATAACCACACATATTTACACGATCTAACCCAAGAAACTTCTCCTATGGACTATATTGGTCGTGAAAGCCTACGTGTTAAACTACACGGATGAGTGTTGGTGGCACGTATTAGTGGCTAAAATGCAGCAAGGTGTCCCAGTGAGTGATGCAGGTGGAGCATCCGCCTGTCACCTCAACTCATATAACACCTGCGTCCTGTCCCGCGACCAGCAGCGAGCCTTCGACATTTCACGCGATGGCCTCAAAACCACGTCTAGCCCGGCACGAGCGCCGTGGTGACGCCGTTCGCCGCTCGGCGCGCGAACGGCGTCCGTCGTTGTCGCCGCACGTGCGTTCCGGCGTGCGTGTGTTCCGGCGCGTGCGTGCGTGGCGAACCCGCACCGGCGGCGTGCACGAAGGCCGGGTAGAGCTCGCGCGAAAGCAGGGGCTCGGTGAGGTCGCGCAGGAACTCCTTGAGCAGCGCGGCGACGTCGTGCGCGCTCGCCTCCTCGCCGATCGACGCCGCCTCCTCGCCGCCGCGGTCAAACTGATCCCGCAGCTGCACAGAGACAACGGCGGCACCGCCGCCACGGGGAGCGGGCGCAGGACCACCGGGGAGCGTCAGCGGGCGGCGGGCGGTGCAGTGGTGACGCTCGCGCCGAGCGGCAAGAGGGCTGCGTGGGTTCGACTCCCGTGTTTGTAGGTCCCCCCCCCCCCCCCCGTTCTGTTTTCTCGGGGGCCCTCTGGTTTCCTCCCACAGCTGAAGGAGACGTGCAGTGTAAGCCGGTCGTCGGCCAAACTTCCCAATGTTGGAATATCACCTGACAATGACTCAATTGGATTTGCACAGCTGCAACATCGCACCCTACAGTGAACAACTTGACAGAACCCCCTTCTGAAAAAAAGAGTGCTGAGGCTCTATATGGTTTTCCCGAGTTAACAAGCGTAGTCATAACAACACATTGTAATAGCAAGCCGGTTGCATCGTTGCTGCAGGCTGTAGATACATTTCCTCCCCCGAGGAATAATTCAAGTTCATTTAAGCTACCAACGCATAGGCTGTTGCGATCATTGCTGTGAGGGAGCACCTATTAGGGTTGGTATAGCCAACACCTCCACACCACCACCTAGCACCATCACCACCATCACCTATTCATACCTGCCATCATCAACATCATCGTCAGCACCATCATTACAAGCAACATCATCAATACCATCATCACGATTGACACCACTTTAAAAACAGGAACATTAACACCACCTTAAACACCATGATCACCATCATTAATGACACGTCACCAACACTATCACCCATTCACCCCTGCCGTGATGATCATCGTGACCCCGTGATTTTTTTGCTTCTGCAGCAGAAGGAGCGAGCAGAGCTCAGCGGAGTACTGACGCGTGGACACCGTGGCAACATCCACATGCACACAGGACGTGCCGTCTCCACGGTAACCATCCCCAAGGTAACCACACACATGCACACAGGACGTGCCGTATCCACGGTAACCATACCCAAGGTAACCACACACACGCACACAGGACGTGCCGTCTCCACGGTAACCATCCCCAAGGTAACCACACACACGCACACAGGACCTACCGTCTCCACGGTAACCATCCCCAAGGTAACCACACACACGCACACAGGACCTACCGTCTCCACGGTAACCATCCCCAAGGTAACCACACACACGCACACAGGACCTACCGTCCCCACGGTAACCATCCCTATGGTAACCAAACACACACAGGATCCACCGTCCCCACGGTAACCATCCCCACGGAAACCGCACACACACACACGGGACTTACAGTCCTCAAGGTCACCATACCCATGGTAACCATAGGGTCCACCGTCCCCATAATGACCATCCCGACGGTAACCACACACACATGCACAGAACCCATCGTCCCCGGTAACCATCCCCATGGTGATAAAGCACACACATACACACACACCTGCCGAACGCGTTTCTTGGAGCTGCCCACTCTGAAGATGCCGACCGTGTGCAGAGCTGTGGGGAGAAGGGGGTGCACAATTGTGATCCAACTCGCCATGACCTATCCACTGCTGCATGAAGTCCCGTCCAAGCCGTAACCATCCCTCACGGGTGCCTGCACAGGAGCCGATCTCATCGCATCCATGCGTTGGCGGTACCCTCGGTCACGCTCCCTCCATTGGCTGCCACTGCGTCGTTATCCTCGACCACTGCGACCGGTGGCCTTCGTCACTTCCAACCATCGTGTCCTGCCCAGGCGTGACTGACTTGTCTTAACAGTTTCAAATCGTGTTTCTCAATTCTGGCCCATTGCCCTCGTAAAACCCATATAATTAGCCATAAACAATTGACCCCAAAACCCCACCCATAACCTGAGACCACAATCAACTCTCCCTTAGCCACCAACGCTTAACTCATCCGTTTAAGGCCATGGAAAATGTCATTGCTGGCCTTAAACATGAATCCTGACTAACCACTCACCTTAACTTATATTCCTATTCATTAAGCCTAGACCCACCGATCACCCATAATGCATGGTCCATACCTGATTAATTGCTGACCCTTGAACCATCACCCTAACCTTTAACACCATGCCTTTTCACTTCTACAGTCACCGTTTCCCAAAATTTTCACCAATGAATCATGACTGCAGGGGTGGGGTCATGACTCCGGATATCAGGAGTACCACCTCAACCTCTAACCATGTTGGTGGGGTCATGACCCCTGTTTGAATGTGGGGTCGTGACCCGAGACAGTGGCTGTGGGGTCATTGCCCTTGATTGTGCGAGTGGAGTTATGCACCCAATTGTGACCCCTTATGTCAGGAGTAAAAACTCGACTCCCGATCATGTCAGACTGAATCATTTGAAGGTCGTTATCCTCTTTATGCCCTGATCGAGGGGGATAGCCATGACCTTTGATTGTGGGAGCTGGGTCATAACCCATGACCGTGTAGACAGGCAAGCTAGGGGCTCATTACCCCTGATAGAAGTGGTGTGGCTCATTATCCCCGATGGAGGAGGAGTGGGGCTCGTTACCCCCGACGGAGGGGGGTGGGGGTTCGTTACCGTGCTGCTCGAGGTGGGAGCAGCACGCCTCGACGACGCGGGGCACGCGGGGGAACGTGGGGTTGAGGCTCAGGCGCTGCCCCTCCCCTCGGCGCCACCGGCCCCGAGTGGAGCCACCGCCGCCCCCTGCCGCTGCCTCGGCCGGCAGCGAGAGCTGTAGAGCCTCGAGCAGACGCGACGGGTTCCCCTGCAGCTCCGCCAGGCTGTCCACGGACATCGCACCCTGCGAGGGGGGGGGGGACACGCGGCGGGGGGGGGGGGGGGAGACGGCGCCGAGGAGGCGCGTGGGAGGGAGACGTGAGCGCATGGGGAGACGTGGGGAGACATGGGCAGGCACGGGGAGAGACATGGAGAGCTAGGCACTCGGAAAAAAAGACGTGGGGATGGAGACAAGGGGACATGGAGAGACGCAGTGAGGCATGGGGAGAGATGGGGAGATGAAGCTGGGGAGACACAGGGAGGGAGGCATGGGGAGGCATGGGGAGACGCAGGGAGGGAGGCATGGGGAGGCATGGGGAGATGCAGGGAGGCATGGGGAGGCATGGGGAGACGCAGGGAGGGAGGCATGGGGAGGCATGGGGAGATGCAGGGAGGCATGGGGAGTCATGGGGAGATGCAGGGAGGCATGGGGAGGCATGGGGAGACACAGGGAGGGAGGCATGGGGAGGCATGGGGAGATGCAGGGAGGCATGGGGAGGCCTGGGGAGACACAGGGAGGGAGGCATGGGGAGGCATGGGGAGATGCAGGGAGGCATGGGGAGGCATGGGGAGACACAGGGAGGGAGGCATGGGGAGGCATGGGGAGATGCAGGGAGGCATGGGGAGGCATGGGGAGGCATGGGGAGGGAGGCATGGGGAGTCATGGGGAGATGCAGGGAGGGAGGCATGGGGAGGCATGGGGAGACACAGGGAGGGAGGCATGGGGAAGTTGAGGGACACAGTGCATGTGTGGGTATGAGGTTGTATATGTGTGTATATGCATTTGTATATACGTGTGTGCGTATGTGTATGCGTGCGTGCAAGAGAGTGTGTGAGTATGTGTGTGCGTGTGTGTGTGCGTGCGTGTGCTCGGCAGGGTCGAGTTTGGGTAGGAGCTCAGTAAAATCTTCCCTTTTTTTGGGATTTGTGATGCTCGCATCTCACATCTGTTTGTGGTCAAACCCAGGCACATTCCACACAGCAGCCAAACGCACACACGCACACGCACATACGCATACATGCGCATGCACGCGTGCACACGCACATCCCCCCATACACCCGTACAAAGACACCCGCACACACACACACACAGAGGCGCTAATAAATTAGTACATACTCTTATGCATGCACCCACATTCACGCACGTACACACACACAAGCAACGCCAATCTGTACACACATTCTCACACATGCAAAACATTATTTTTAGTTTTATAGACCAGAGGGCCAAGTGCTGTCGGTGAGCACCTATTAAGGCCAGCACGGTATGCAAAGGGTGGTGTGGCTAGTGTCTCCCTAGTGCGGATGTTCTACACACCACACCAGGAATTAATTTAAAGCTGAGTTGACCTAAAAGAGGCCCAGAACCGTGACAGATATTTACCACCAATGTTGTTCGTGACTGAGAATCGAACTGGAGATGTCAGTTTTTCAGCACAACAATGAGCTAACCAACGGCTCCACACCAAAGACAAAGATCCCCCGTATAGCCTTAATAGACTGTAGGGGCAAGTGCTGTTAGCGAGCACCTATGAAGGCCGGAACAGTACACGAGGGGGTGGGTGGCCAGCACCACGGCCGACCGCCTTAGTCTCCCCAGTGGCGATGTTTACACACCGCACCGGGTACTAAGTTCAGGCTGAGTCGACCTAGGGGAGGCCCAGAACCGGTTCAGATAATCGTCACCGGTGTTGGCTGTGAACGGGAATCGAACCCGGGTCGCCAGGTTCATAGCGCAGGGCGCTAACTGCTACACCACTGCTCCCCACACGGTATACTGTACATAAGCACACACGCACGTATACACACATATGAACAAAAAGACAAAGATCCCCCGTATAGCTTATGGGAAGGGTGAGGTCTTTTACAAGCAGCTAAGTGCACACCGCACACACACACACACGAATACAGAGGCAACGATCCCGCCGTGTAGCCTTCGGAGACCATTGGGGCGAGTGCGGTTAGCGAGCACCTATGGCACACAAGGAGGTAATGTGGGTTTGCGCAATGCCGAGCCGTCTTTGTCTCCCCATTGCTGATATATAAACATCGCACCAGGTACTGCAAACATTTTAGGGGAGGCCCAGAAATGGCTCAGATATCGCTGACCACTGATGTTAGCCACGGGAATCAAACTCAGGCAGCTGGGTCTGTTGCGCCGTGATCAACACTGCGCCATGCACAACAAAGACAAAGATCCCCCGTATATCCAAGACAGACTGTCGGGGCAAGTGCTGTTAGCAAACACCTCTGAAGGCCGGCACGGCACACGAGGCGGTGGGTGGCCAGCACCACGCCTGGTCGCCGATTCAGATAATCGTCATTGGTGTTGGCCGTGAGTGGGATTCGGTAGCCAGGTTTGTAGCACAGTGCGCTAACCACAATACTACTGCTCCCCACAATCACACACACACATGAACATACGCACGTGCACACACGCAATCAGAAACATACACATACATGTACACGTGCAGACGCACATACAAACTGCATGTGAACAAACGTATGTACGCACATACACACGGCCAGCAACAAACAACACTATTGGCGTTGAAATAAAAAAAGAGTTAACACGTTTGTGGAATTGAGCAAGCTTTCAAGAACTTGTGGTCGTGGCAATTGCGCCATGCTAGGTGCACTCTGAAGTGTTCATACATACATACACACACACGTATTTACGTATGTAAAAGCACAAACGAATGAGCACGCACCCACACACGCGCAAGCCCTCGCCGCTCTCCACTCACCCTCCTCTGCTGGGGCCGTGACCTTCCTGCCGTCGCTCTCCCCGCGTTGTCTCCGCCCTCCTCTCGCGTCCACCCCGCGGCGGACGACTCCAGCGCCGACCCCGTCAACTCCGACCCCACGCCCCGTGACCCCGTGCCCCCTGACCCCACCGACCCAGGATGGGCGAGCGGCGGGGGTGGTGGCGAGGGGTCCGGCACGCAGGATGACAGCAGCTCCCTGCGCTGCTTCAGCTCCAGGTCATTGGCGATGACCTGGAGCAGGGGCAGCCCGAAGGCACGCGGAGGGGACTCTGTAGGGGAGGGGGGGTTGAGTTGGGCACAGGGGAGACACGGGGAGGCAGCGGAAGGGCACAGGGGCAGAGAAGGAGTTGTGGGGAGAAAGAGGGAGGCGGGGTTGGTATGGGGATACAGAGGGAGACACGGCAACACGGGATCGAGAGAAATGAGAAGTGAGGTAGGTGCAGTCATAGGGATGCACGAGGACATGTGGGAATGGATGCACGGGGACATGCACATACATGCACACATAGGAACATAACGAGATACACATTATTTTGCAGGTATACGCACAATGATGCACACACAACAGTGTACCAGTAGCGGCAATAACACGACCACGACCAAAAAACCACCACTACAACATCACCACCGCCAGTTGTCTATAAGTTGTGGTGAAATCACCCCAGTGCCTGTGCCAGGCCTGGTCCACTCTCACGACACTGCTCACCGGGAGACATGCACCGTTTCTTTTTGGAGAAATAGTAATGGATCGCTGGCGGATGATCACGGGACAGACCCACGAGTGATTGCTCATCACATCACGCAAGTCTGCCTTGTTGTCCCAAACACGCGCACACATATGCACGTGTGCAGCCCTTTATGTCAATCCACTGCTGGATGAGGGCCTTGCTGTGCTGTGTGGGTAATGGGTGGTGTTTGACCATGCAAGTAAGTGCAGCCTGGGGAAGGAAGCCGGGCAGCGTGGACCCGGGAGCAGGAGAGTCAACGGGGGATTTGGCTGCACGATTCTCTGCTGCCCCCACACAGCCCCCACAGCAACTGCAAATGACAGCCTGGTGCATGCACGGCATTCGTTCATCTAATCACAATCCAGGCTCAAACTTGCTTAGCTTTGGAGAAATAGCTTTGTAGATCGGACACGTTTCAGGTGATTTGGTCATGAGCCGCACACACAAGAGGCAAAGATCCCCCGTAGAGCCCGAACAGACTGTTGGGGCAAGTGCTGTTATCGAGTATCATCTATGAAGGCCGGTGTGGCACTCGAGGAGGTTAGTGGCCAGCACCATGCTTTCATTTGAGGCTGAGTCGACCTAGGGGAGGCCCAGGGCCTATTCAGATAAACGTCACTGGTGCTGACAGTGAGCGGGAATTGAACTCGGGTCGCAGGGTTCGTAGCGCAGCGCGCTAAACGATGCACTACCGTTCCCCTCCGCACACACGCACGCACACGCACGCACACGCACGCACACACACGCACGCACACACACACACGCGCACACACGCACACACACACGCACACACACGCGCACACACACGCACACACGCACATACACGCACACACACGCACACACACGCACACACACACGCACACACGCACACACACACACGCACACACACACGCACACACACACACACGCACACACACGCACACACACGCACACACACGCACACACACACACGCACACACACGCACACACACACACGCACACACACGCACACACACGCACACACGCACACACACGCACGCACACACACACACGCACACACACGTACACACACACGCACACACACACACACGCACACACACGCACACGCACACACACGCACACACACACACACACGCACACACACGCACACACACGCACACACACACACGCACGCACACACACACACACGTACGCGAGCGTACAGGCGAGAATTCACGAGAGCACTGTGGCCGTGGTTGACGTCGCCGTGTCACTCTCATTACGGCTCCACCTCGCTCGCCGTTACCTTTGTCCTTAGACTTCTCCCGAGACAAAGTCGTGTCAAGTTTCCGACGCAAGGACTTTTTCCGTTTCTGGCCATCTGCACGCGCAAACAAAGAAAAAAGATCCCCCCGTGTAGCCTTAACAGACTGTTGGGGGCAAGTGCTGTTCGCGAGCACCTATGAAGGCCGGCATGGCACATGAGGGTGTAGGTGGCCAGCACACCACACACACACACGTATGCAAACATATGTAACCAACAATCTTATATGTTTCTGTACAGTCAATGGTGAAGCAAACTTTACTTATTTTGTTTTGGGGGGGAAACATCGGTTCGAAGCATTGCCGGCACATTGCCTCTAAGCCATCAATATCAGTTCCAGAGAGAACAATTCGTATCGCGAGTTGCTCAGACAAGTCTACTTTCTGGATTTTATGTATGCAGGTTGTATGTATGTTGTATGTATGTTGAACTTATTTTGCACCGTACGTAGCCAACCGTGCTAATCGGAGGTGCGGGGGGAAGGACAACAAACTAAACACAAAAAGCAGTTCTCAAGAAATAGTTTAATTCGACGGCTACCCAACAATCACTTCTCCTTCTAATCTCGATATCTGAATGAGCCCAAGCCTCCCGTAAATCACGTGACTTAAGTGTGCCCCCCCCCCCCACCACCACCACCTCATTCTTCTCTCCCCATCACCCTCTCATCCCCAACATCTGCAGTGTATCCTTGACTCTGCTTCCCTGAGACACAATTGGCTCTCTCCTTCACACTCCAGCTGACCACCGCTGGATCTCAGTATGCCCCTGTGTGGCCCTCTTGTGTGGGTGGTTCCACTCCCCCACCCACAAGTTAGATCCAGAGCATGGTGGGAGTTGAAGGGGGCATATTCCCCCACCCCCCTGCCCTCAATGCTCAGCCTCATTTCTAACTTCCTATAGTCAAGTCAAAACAATGTTGGGCCAACCTTTTCCTCATACAGTTTAGTTTTTTTGACCTTCCCTCCACACCTCCGATTCGCACGGTTCGTGACGTGCGGTGCGAAAGAAGTTCAACATACATACACACGGGGTGAGAGCGGCAGCCGAATGCATGATAGACACAAGCAGATCATATCGTTACTCCTTCTGTTTAACGCCTAACATTTGTTTAACGTTGTTTTAAGGTTTGTTTAACTGTTTCATGCTCTCCCCGCTTGAGTTTTTTTGTGTATGTGTGTGTACGCCGCCCCCCTTTAAACAAGGTCACGTTGCAGGGTTCCCGGGATTGGTTAATCTCTCTTGAATGGTTGATCCCCTCATGCAGTCCTCCTCGTTGGTTGTGTTGCCCCCACCCACCCCCCCCCTGATCTGTTGGTTCCTCTGCGGTTTCCCTGAGTGGTTCGAAACCACTTAGCGACTGATCCCTCCTGAGTGATTGATCTCCGGAACTGTTGACCACCAACCCCTGTGTGATTCTCCCCGATGCATTAGTGCCCTCATGCGGTCCCCTCATTGGTTGGGCGTCTCATGCAATACCTGATTAGATATTAGAAGAGAAACAATATTATTCTTTGGTTCTTTCGGTAAAGTCACGTAGAATGAGAATAAAATAATAAAATAAAATTAAATAAGACAATAAAATTCTCACGACGTTTCGGCCACAACACAAGTAGTCTTTTATTGTCTTATTTAATTTAATTTTATTATTTTATTCTCATTCTACGTGACTTTACTGAAAGAACCAAAGAAGATGAATCCTTGCAGTCATAAAAGCTTTCAATCTAAAAAACAATAATATTTTGAAAAATATTTTTATTATTATTACGTTTCTTATATCTACGTGACTTTACCGAAAGAAGCAAAGAATATGAATTCCTGCAGTCACGAAAGTTTTAAGTCAAAATTTAGTCAACTGATTGGTTAATCCCCCCATTAATCGACTCCCCCCCCCCCCCCTCATGTGATGCTCTGAGTGATTGCGCCCCCCACCCATGCAGCCCCTTCTCTGCCCCTCCCCCTCAACGCCCCCTTCCCCGCTGGCAGTTGCCACCTTTAGGGATGGCGATGTTGCAGGGCAGCTGCATGTCGGCGAGGCGGGCGAGGGCCGCCTCCTGCAGGCGGGCCCTCTCGAGCTCGGAGAGCGCGCCCAGCGCCACGGGGCCCAGGCGTACGCCCTCGCCGCCGCCCGTCACCCACGTCAGGTCCCCCTGCGGGTGGGGGGGGGGGGGGTGCAGAGGGGGAACGCAGTTAAGCCATGTGGGGAGGAATTCTGGGATGTGCTGCAAGGGACATGCACGCGGAGATACTCGGGAGACGCACGGGGGGCCCCAGAGCGATAGACGGCGATGTCTGGGGATGCACGAGGACACCAAGAGCCGTAGGGACTGGGTACAGGAGACAATTCGGCCCATCAGCGACTCAACGGATTGTCACAATCTGGGCTCGCGCGATTCATGCAATCCATTCTCTCCTGTGGTCTCGTTTTCGCCATCTCGTTCTGTCTCATTTGCACAGTTTTGTTCGCTCAGCCCAAACATAAATATAAAGTCTTAACGATGGAATATAACTTTAAATGTTTTTTTTAAATTAAATATAACACGGATGTATCTATGGGGACAATAACTGATTTTAAGTCGTTGAATCGACGATTGATGAGGACATTGGGCATGAAGAACAGGGAGGAACAGCGAGAACATGTAAACACGGGGGATGCTTGGATGGGATTTTTTTCGCTCAAGCAAATATGCAGACTGTCGCTGCAAATGATGTTGTTTGTGAGCACCTATTAACAATAACACCGCCTTGAAGGTAAACATACAGTGAGGGAAAAAAGTATTTGATCCCCTGCTGATTTTGTACGTTTGCCCACTGACAAAGAAATGATCAGTCTATAATTTTAATGGTAGGGTTATTTGAACAGTGAGAGACAGAATAACAACAAAAAATATCTAGAAAAACGCATGTCAAAATTGCTATAAATTGATTTGCATTTTAATGAGGGAAATAAGTATTTGATCCCTCTCAATCAGAAAGATTTCTGGCTCCCAGGTGTCTTTTATACAGGTAACGAGCTGTGATTAGGAGCACACTCTTAAAGGGAGTGATCCTAATCTCAGCTTGTTACCTGTATAAAGGACACCTGTCCACAGAAGCAATCAATCAATCAGATTCCAAACTCTCCACCATGGCCAAGACCAAAGAGCTCTCCAAGGATGTCAGGGACAAGATTGTAGGCCTACACAAGGCTGGAATGGGCTACAAGACCATTGGCAAGCAGCTAGGTGAGAAGGTGACAACAGTTGGTGCGATTATTCGCAAATGGAAGAAACACAAAAGAACTGTCAATCTCCCTCGGCCTGGGGCTCCATGCAAGATCTCACCTCGTGGAGTTGCAATGATCATGAGAACGGTGAGGAATCAGCCCAGAACTACACGGGAGGATCTTGTCAATGATCTCAAGGCAGCTGGGACCATTGTCACCATGAAAACAATTGGTAACACACTACGCCCTGAAGGACTGAAATCCTGCAGCGCTCACAAGGTCCCCCTGCTCAAGAAAGCACATATAAATGCCCGTCTGAAGTTTGCCAATGAACATCTGAATGATTCAGAGGACAACTGTGTGAAAGTGTTGTGGTCAGATGAGACCAAAATGGAGCTCTTTGGCATCAACTCAACTCGCCGTGTTTGGAGGAGGAATGCTGCCTATGACCCCATGAACACCATCCCCACCGTCAAACATGGAGGTGGAAACATTATGCTTTGGGGGTGTTTTTCTGCTAAGGGGACAGGACAACTTCACCGCATCAAAGGGACGATGGACGGGGCCATGCACCGTCAAATCTTGGGTGAGAACCTCCTTCCCTCAGCCAGGGCATTGAAAATGGGTCGTGGATGGGTATTCAGGCATGACAATGACCCAAAACACACGGCCAAAGGAGTGGCTCAAGAAGATGCACATTAAGGTCCTGGAGTGGCCTAGCCAGTCTCCAGACCTTAATCCCATAGGAAATCTGTGGAGGGAGCTGAAGGTTCGAGTTGCCAAACGTCAGCCTCGAAACCTTAATAACTTGGAGAAGATCTGCCAAGAGGAGTGGCACAAAATCCCTCCTGAGATGTGTGCAAACCTGGTGGCCAACTACAAGAAACGTCTGACCTCTGTGATTGCCAACAAGGGTTTTGCCACCAAGTACTAAGTCATGTTTTGCAGAGGCGTCAAATACTTATTTCCCTCATTAAAATGCAAATCAATTAATAGCAATTTTGACATGCGTTTTTTCGATTTTGTTGTTGTTATTCTGTCTCTCACTGTTCAATTAAACCTTCCATGCAAATTATAGACTGATCATTTCTTTGTCAGTGGGCAAACGTACAAAATCAGCAGGGGATCAAATACTTTTTTCCCTCATTGTATGGGCAACGTATTTTGGGGAATGGCCCTTCATAGCACATACAATGAAGGGACATTTCCCAAATTACGATGTTGCAGGGCATCTTCATCGTACACTTTGCGAATTGAGTAAGCGCCACTTGCCCAAAACTGTCCACCACCAGAACATTTGCTAAAAACGAGAGGGACACACCCATCCCCAGAGGCACATGCCTATCCGTTGCATGATTTAAAAAACGAATCGCAAGTCCTGCACCGGGCCATTCCATATGGCAGAGTGGATAATCAGCGCCGAAGCGAATACGCCGAACTGGTTAAATGATCAGATCGGTCATTTGTTTTCTGTAATTTAAAAACTGTTTGCATTGAATATCACGAGCTTTCAAATGATTAATCGTTCATTGAAATTAGTGGAGCCTTCTATGATACATTATCTGGACATGCGTACAAAGTTACACGCGTACAGATAAGCCACATATGGATAATAATTTACAGCCCTTTCAATCCAATGCTGGATGAAAACCTCTCCATACGAACGTGCCACTTGATGCAGTGGTACGTATGCTCCTTTATAAGAAAGACTCCCCGAGCCTCAATATATTTTTTTGCAAGGCGGTCTTGCATTGGGATGTTTGGTAAATTCCATTGATAACTTACAGGCTTAATAATCTTTGTTTTTTTCGGTAAAGTCACCTAGGTTAAAATAAAAGAAAGAAAAGAAGAAAACAACTAAATTAAATCACGACGTTTCGGAGGCAACACAAGCTTCCTTCTTCAGGTGGAATAGACACAGCGGAATATCTGTGTGGAATATCTGTGTGGATAATTCGCTGTCTATTCCACCTGAAGAAGGAAGCTTGTGTTGCCTCCGAAACGTCGTGATTTAATTTAGTTGTTTTTAAAAAAATGTTTTTATTTTAACCTACGTGACTTTACCGGGGGGAAAAAAAACAAAAAGCGTGAATCCTTGCAGTCACGAAAGCTTCAAATCTAGAATTAACTTACAGGCTGAAAAAAACCATCAGAGAACATGGAGAAAATCCACGCATAGGAAAGGATAAACCAAAGATCCGCAGAGGATTCAAATCCATTTGCTGTGCTCCCACATTTGTCCTGGGCATCTCGCAGCCCAGCAGTGATGAGGTAACATTTACAGGTAATGATGTCCTTTTCTCGTGACAGGCAAGTAGTACCTAATATATCGACCCTGGAAATGATTGCACAACAATGAGCGCTAAGCAAGTGGACGTATACATATATTTTTTTATGATCCTGATATCAATTTCTTATCGAGGATGGTTTCATTGGGTTTTATTCAGGTGGAAGGAAAGAAAGAGGAGGTTTTGAAAATCCCACCACTTTGTGACCTGAATTCAAGCACTTTCTTGAGCTGAATAAAAAAGTAAATACACGCACACAAACGCGCACAAATAGATACACAAACAGCCCACATACACAGAGGAGACAAAGATCCCCCAGAAAGCCTGTAGGGGCAAGTTCTGTTAGTGAGCACCTATGAAGGCCGGCACGGCACAGGAGGGGGTCGGTTGCCAACACCACGCCCGGCCACCTTTGTCTCCCCAGTCGCGATGTTTACACATCGCACCAGGTACAAATTGTAGGCTGAGTCGACCTAGGGGAGGCCCGGGACAGGTTCAGATAATCGTCACCGGTGTTGGCAATCGAACTCGGGTCGCCAGGTTCGTAGCGCAGCGCGCTCACCGGTACGCCACCGCTCCCCAAAGACGAACAAAGACACAACAACAGACACACGCACAAGCACCGCCACCTAATTGTCCTTCCGATCTGACCTTTACACACTGGGGCCCGCTAATGAGGCTTTTAGCATTGAGGTTTAAATATTTAATCGATGTTTTGGTATTAGAGACACTTTAAAACTGTGATTTCAATTATACAGACGTACGTTGTGTAACCCGCTCACCCTCACAGACGAAACTCCCACAGTTGTATGCACATGCCAACACAATGTTGATGCGCGTGCATTTGAATGCAAATAAAGACACATACGTGCACAAATAATGGTATACGCATGTAAATATGCACATTCTCATGGCAGGAGCCTGTCTACACATCGCACGACCACGGCTGCGTTCTCACAAAGTGGTACTACTCAATTTAATGACTCTCCTGAAAGAAAAAAGATGAACATGGTGGGAGTACAACGCGATGGGAAGTGTTTATCACTAATTATGATTATCAACATTTTTTTCCCTCTCTCTGAAAAAATTATAATTGCTTGAAACGATAGCCCGTGATGACTGGACACCGAATCAGTTTTTAGATTCACAAATATTCAGTGACAAACGAACCATCAACCACTTTACAGCCCTTTCTCAATCTACTGCTGGATGAAGGCACCCCATGCCATCTCTGACCATACTTCACCGCGATGGTCCGTGAAGGTGAGTGAAGCAGGGGACCAAGGACCGGTTAAGATAGCACTCGCCACGAACGTTAGCCATGGCTGGGAACCAGGTTCACAGTGCAGCGCGCTAACCACTGCACCACCACTCCACTCTCCCCCGCCCCCATCTGTATAGCTAAGATGAGTACAGCGCACCCCAGGTGCAACACTTAGCTCACAATGGCCGAGTCAGAGCCACTCGCTGTTTTGTACCCTACCTCTAATGCCCAGAGGGGCCTGTGGAGGATCGCTGGGGGGTTGGAACCACCTTGTTGGCCCTCTTTGGAGGAGGAGGAGGGGGGGAGAGAGCTATTTTCAGGCTGGTGAAGTCCGTGAATCAAACTCTGTCAAATCTGAGTTTAATTCCCAGCCATGGCTGCTGTCAGCGGCGA